TTTTTTTTATCGATTTTGATGGTTATTATATCGTTAGAACTGACGAGGGTCAACCCAGACCGAAATATATTTTCAATAAATGTGGAACTAACATCTACTTTTTTACTCTACAGAGGTTTGGTCCATCACCATCACCGAATTTTAAATCTACCTGAACCCTGATGGATCCTATAAATTCTTTATAAAGTAAATACTACAGGTTTGGTCAGAATGCAACATACATAAATTCTTTTACATATCAAGATCTTCACTGAATAAAAACAAAAACAAGCAAAAATATTCTTGAACTTTTTTCTGGGTTCTCAAGGTACGCAAAACTTGTTAAAAACAAGTTAATTTGTAAACCGATAAGGGGATAATGGGTCGATATCGACCGCTTCGTACATAGACGGACTAAGAGCGTTTGTTAGGAATAAACCCAAATTAAAAATTAGTTTTAGGTCGTAGTCGAAAACTCATTTTTGTGGTTGGGTTACCCACAAATAATGAGTTTGCAAGTTCCACGTATAGACAAGATATCGATATATTTGTGGTTGGTTTACCCACAAATAATGAGTTTTCAAGTTCCACGTATAGTGAATAAATAGAGGATTTAACACTACTGTCAATATTTTTGAAAGCTGTGACTTTCGATCACAATTTGACCACTTATACATAATTTTTAACCTTTTTTCTTAAATTCTTTTTTGTCGGTAAATACGTTTTGAATGAAATTGTATAAAATAAACAAATCTGTAAGTTTAAAGAATGTTGAAGTATAGACCAAAATACGTTTTATTTCAAATAAAAGAAACCGAATGCTTCTCACTCTGGTTAGCTCGGGGTGGTGGATTTGGTAAATTTTGTGTCGGCCATTTAATACGATTTAATGTGCACAGAAATAATTTGCAAAGAAAGCTGGAGTTCGGGATTGTTTGTATTTAATGGTTCAGCCTGTTTTATGTAAAATAATATAACAATTGATAAACAATGATGCAAATACTCATAGTACAACGAAACTTTCTACTTTTTTTTTTATAAAACTACACATCTTAGCAGATTTAGTCCTCATACATCATTTTATTGAACTTTTAATATGTAACCGGATAGATTTCATACTTGTGCGTGTAAAATTAAAACTGAAGACATAAATATGACATTTTCTCTCTCGGCATTATATAAAATACCCCTTTCTTCTATTCTTTCGTACTTTGAGCTAATCGTAAAAAGAAAATTGATATTTTTAGAGCAATTTTTATCATGTTCAATAATTAAATTTTTCTTTGTCATTGCCGACCAACTCAAAAGATAAAAGTAAAACAAATTTAATATATATTGAGATTGTAGTATATTTTTTTTAAAATCAAATGAAAATAAAAATGCCAACATGTCGATTCCCACGATCTTTTATGCTTAAGCACTAAAATATCATTTTGTAAAAGGTTTAATACAACAATCTCAAAAAATTTGTTTTACAATAATGGGAATGGGACATGCCATAAGATTAATATTTATCTTTGGATTTATATTGTGGAAATAAAGGTGTCCAGTGTCCACTAATGCCCAATTTTGGAAAATAGATGTCGCAGTTATAGCTTTTCCAATTGTAATGTTTTCAGTGACCACTATTCAACATTTTTAGATCAATATATCTAAAACTCTAGGGTATGGTCGTTGCAAAAATTTAAAAAGCCTTACATAGCTTTAAAAAATTAGATCTTTGCAATTGTCCAAAAAGTTTCAAAGTTTATAGGTGCTAATGAATGTTTTTTGAAACATGATACAAGTCCATCGGACAAATGTATAACAAATATTTATTTTAATTAATGAAAAATATTAAAATGTGACAATTTTACTTCAAAGAATTCATAAAAATACCATTTTTTTCTGCAATTTTTTTAAATTATAAAGTTGGAGATAGGATTAAGTATGAGCAATCTCTAAGCATTTTGCAGAAAATCCCAGATAGAGGGGGGGGGGGAGGATCCGGGTCTCCCTCCCCCCAACTGGAATAGGGTTATGTGAGGACAAACTCTATCGTGAATACTAGAGCATACTAGATTTTGAATGTTGAGTTACAGGGATCTACACAGTTCATGAAAATATGCATCAACTAGTAAGACTTGAACATGTAGCAAGGAATATACTTTATAACCCTGGATAGGAAGCATATTTTAGTTTAAGCTTAGTGAGACTATTCTGTAGCATGCAGATATTTTAGTTTGAAAATTGTAGTGTTATATAACTGGAATATACTGGATAGTTTAGTTTGCAGTTGAATATTACTGGATTATACTGGACATTTAAGGAATCTGACATAAATCTACTTCTAACTTTAATCATGATAGATTGTCTAGGCTTGCAAGCTACAGGGTGCCCCATATCAATAATCTGATTTACAGAGAACATATAGGATAATTTTTCAGTTCCTTTGAGGCTAAAAATTGTTTCTGTTTCATGTGGGTTTTAGTTTAAAGTGATTTCGAATGTACTTTTAAAGGTGCAGTTAAAATATAAATATAATTTTAGCTTTTAATTTTTGCACCTTTAATTGTCATTTAACACATTTTTAACATTTTCACAAATAATTAGCTGTAGTAACTGGCGTTGCTCGTGGAATTATAAATAAAAAAATTAAAATGGATTTTTAAGTGATGTTAATACTTCCAGGAGACTCATGGCTCCCATAAAAAAATCAGCAATTTTGGTCCAGCAGTTTGTAGCTAACTTAAATATACATAATTATTAAAGCCCTCCTACATAACAAGTTCTCAAAACGTATCTATCCAAGTTCAACCCGTCCGCTATCAAAGTCAACCAGGACACAACCTACCTGGCTCTAAATGCAAAAAGGGACACAAGCGTAGCTATCCAACAAGCTATTATCAACCAGGACACAACCCACGTGGCTCTAAATGCAAAACAGGAACACAAGCGTAGCTATCCAACAAGCTATTATCAACCAGGACACAACCCACGTTGCTCTAAATGCAAAACAGGGACACAAACGTAGCTATCCAACAAGCTATTATCAACTAGGAAACAACCCACCTGGCTCTAAATACCACACAGGGACACAAGCGTAGCTTTCCAACAAGCTATTATCAAACAGGACACAACCCACCTGGCTCTAAATGTCACACAGGGACACAAGCATAGCTATCCAACAGGCCATCAGTTCAGTGCTCTAAATGCCACACAAGGACACACGCCTAGCTATCCAACAAGCTATTATCAAACAGGACACAACCCACCTGGTTCTAAATGCCACACAGGGACACAAGCGTAGCTATCCAACAAGCCATTATCAAACAGGGCACAACCCACCTGGCTCTAAATGCCACACAGGGACACAAGCATAGCTATCCAACAGGCCATCAGTTCAGTGCTCTAAATGCCCCACAAGGACACAAGCCTAGCTATCCAACAAGCTATTATCAAACATGACAAACCCACCTGGCTCTAAATGACACACAGGGTCCCAAGCCTAGCTATCAACAAGCTATATATCAATCCCAAACGAAAGAGACCATCCAACATTGTTATACAGGGTTTCAATCCACTATAAATGACACACAAAGACACAAGCCTAGCTATCAACAAGCTATATATATCAATCCCAAACGAAAGAGACCATCCAACATTGTTATACAGGGTTTCAATCCACT